GAGGGCACGTTCTGCGTGGAGCACTGGGTGTTATGCACAAACAATGAATCATGGAACACTACATCAAAAACTAATGCTGTAATGTATGGTGATTAAGATAACAATAAAAAAATTTAAAGAAAGAGTAAGTTTGGGCCATACGACTGGGCAAGTCACTCAGACTATTAGTACCTCATCCCTGGACAAGAGGGCTGCTCAGGACTGGAAAAAGTAAGAGTAGTGGAGCCCGCAGACTGGAGTTCTAGATTTTCCCACTGTTTTCCAGCCCTGTGACCTTGAACAAATAACATGACCTCCCCAGGCCTCAACTCCCTGATCTGTGGAAGGGGCTGAAGTCAGGGGCACTCCCCTCAGAACCTGATCCTTAGCTGTTGCTCAGACAATGGAGGGCAATCTTACTGACTTGCTGTCACAACGAGGGGACAAAGGAGGACCAGGCCATACTCACCGCTCACTATGAGTTGAGTGCCTGGTCCAGACTTCAACTCCACATCAGGGCTCCCTTTCTGGAACTTTACACAGTAGTAGGTTCCAGTGTCTGCTGGGGTGATGTTACTGATGCAGATGGAAAAGTCTGTGTTGTTTCTCTTTGTGGTGTCTGAAACAGTTGTTACTCGGGGGTAGTGGCCTCCTCTGAAACTGAAGATTAACTCCCGGGCTGGCCCTGTTCCCCTGAACCACTCAACCGGCCCAAAGCGGTGCAGGGAGGTCAGGGTACAGCGCAGAGTGGCTGTCTGTCCAGCTGCGACAGACACTGACTTCTCAGGCTGGATCACCTGCAGCTCCGTCTCACCTGCCACACCTGGAGGGAAAACAAAGATCATCCTGAGGTGATCCTGGATGTCTCCTCACGTGTGTATCCCCAACAGCTCACTGACTGAGCGCACGTCGTGAGTGGGCCTTGACCTTGGCACATTGCATGTACGTGGCATGCAGCCCTCACCACGAGCCTGTAACGTGAGACCGTATCACAAATGAGGGTGAAGACACGGAGACACTCAGGGATGTGGCAAGGAGCAGGTTTGACTTTGCAGTTGGATTTCCTGCCTTGGTGACTAGCCAGTGTCTGGAGACATCAAGAATATGAAATCATTCCTTTCTTACTTGAAGTGTCCTAAAAACCAGGCAGGGATTTGAGTCAGGGGAGCAGACTGCTGTGGCCCGACTCATACACCCAGTGTTCTTTTCCATTTCTTATCTACTCCTCAGGGAGAAAATCTGTGGTTGACCCTTGCAGAGTGTGAGCTGGTAAAACCCATGCTCTTAGGATTATTTGCAACCAAACAGGTCTCCTAAGGAGGGCACGTGCTATTACAGGCAGAAGAAGATTGGGGTCGCAAGCTGAACTGCTAAGACAAACATGGGAAGAAATAGGAATGCACCATGGAGGGAGAAATGGAGGGAACATGGGAGGGAAGAGGTCAGAAGGATCAGAGAGTCAAGAGGGGCCAAGGCAAGGGGAAAACTCTACCATCTGTGTATCTATAATCCCCCCATTTCCATCTCTGGCCCCGGCCTTGCCCTGAACTACGATTTGTATGTCCAAACACCATTTGACTTTTTTCTCAGATAGAAGTCAACCTGTCACAGTAACATGTCCTAAACCGAACTCAGTTTCCCATACATGCTTGCATATCTCAGCTGAGGCACCTCTATTTTCCCAGATGCTTAGGTCCCAACCCTTGGGTGCCTTTCTTTCCCACCTCAAGTCCTATGCACCAGGACACCTAAGGGCTCCCCTGCTGCATGCACCCACAATCTGACCTCTTTCCCCTTCCTCCTGGCTGCTGTCTTGGTGCTTTTCCTCGTTTGCACGGATGCAATGAGCTCTTGAGTGCTCTAGCTGCTTCTATCTATGCCCTGTGGTACTCCATTCTCAAACAAATGCTAGAATACTCTAAAACTCACGCCAGATCATGTCACTTCTATTTTCCAAACCTTGCAATAGCCACCATTTCATTCAGAATAAAAGCCCAGATCTTTGAGCAGAGCAAGTGGATTCTACTCTCATGCTGTTCCCATGCTGTCCAGGAAGGTTCTTCCCCCAGAAAATCACATGGCTCACTCCCCCACCTTCTTACAATCTTTGCTCAATTCTACCTTCTCAATGATGCCCACCCAGGCTGCCTGTTCAAATACATCTTACCCTGAAGATCCTCTCATTGTCGTAACCAGCTGTACTGTCATGTGTTTTCCTTCACACTCATCAATTCCTGTATTCTGTGTTATTTAGTGATTTGTTGTGTCTGTTGTCTCCTGTCCTTTCCCCCACTATGATAGGACTTCTACGAAGGCCACTTCTTTGTCTCTTTTATTCATCAATATGCCCTATGTTCATGTAACAGTTCTTGTCCCCTAGTAGGTATATAGTTAATATTTGTATAATGTCTGAATTGCCCAATGTGACCCCTTTCTGACACCATGAAGTCTATTTTCAGTGGAGAATTTCTCAGGACATTATATCAGACCTAAGTTTCCCACATAGATGACTTGGAGGAAAGAAACAGTTGCATATACCCAGAAAGCAGAAGCATCTAAGAGAAGCAAACTACATATATTCTTCACCACACCAAACCCTTCCTCACACTGACTGGAAGATCTGCAGAAATCTCATGGGATGGAAGGGGGGCCTTAGGGTTTGAAAAGAGCAATGGTTAGACCTGTGAGATCCAGAATCGGACTGCCTTGTTTCAAATCCTAGCCCTACCATTTATACTGAGTGACCTTGGACCTTTCTGTGCCTCCTTTTCTTATCTGCCAGTTAGGGGTAACAAGAATGTCTACCTTGGATGCAAAGATCACATGACATAATGGACATAGGCATTTCCAGGTGTGTGTGGCACATGGTGAGTGCTCAGGAATTTAGAAAGTTATCACTCATGAAATTTCCTGAGTCATGGAGACATCAGTGGACACTAGATGAATGGGATCTTGATATGCATATGGATATAATTACAGATGCAGACCACACAGGCAGGAGTCTCCAAATGTTTATCCCCTTCTTTCCTAGCCCACTTGAGTCCAGCATGGAGGGGTCTCTAAGGAAGTAATGCACAAGGTTTTACTCATTTTACCAAGAGAGAAGTTTGTTTAACTTAAGAGCTTGGTCGAAAGTGAGAGAGGTAGGTTTAGAGAATTAAAGTAGAGGGTGAGTAGCTGAGAGACAGGGAACCAAACATCTGTTCAATGTGCATCTCATGTAGACTGTATGTGATATGAGAAGAAAAAGCAAAGTGTTTACAAAAATCCCATGTGTGTGGGCACATGCATGGGTGTACCCTTCCCTATGCCCACTCCTATGCACACACACACACAGGTAAGTTCATTCCCTGTTTATGTAAAGTGTAGCCTAGCATGCTAGTATACAGATTGTTTTGAGGATTAAGTGAAATTATAATATATGTTAAACTTCAGTAACAATTTTGGCATATTGGAAACTTCCAGCACATCATTAACAAAAGTTTGTGAGTACACACAGTATAAGTGGAACTCTGGAGACCTCTGAGTGTGATAAGTGATGGCTGTTTTTCCGTTTGCCTCTCTGTGTTTTCTGATGTTTCTTGAATTAGCCTCCACTGAGGAGCCAAGCAGCATAAGATGGTGAACGGAATGAACTGTTGAGTTGAGTGGCCTGGACAGGAATCCCAGCTGCTCCACTGACTCAGGTAGGTGACACTGGGCTGGTTCCTCACTCTGCCTCAGTTTCCCCATCTGCAAATCAGGAGTACAGTCTGAGCTATCAGGCAGGGATGTTGTGAATATTAGATCAATGAACACACACAAAGTTGTCATTGTTACCAATTGCATCGACTATTTGGATGCCTCTGCTAACCAGCTGCAGGTGATGGATCCATAGAGGAAATGCTCAGATCCCTGACTTCATGCTCTCAGATGATACCCAGTCCGTGGCCTTCTGTGGAGGGTCTGGGTAGCACACCTGTGCTTACCTGGAGGCCTTAAATATCCAGGGGCAGGGAGAAGTTGAGGAGGCAGGGAATGGGGAGTCTCCCCCAAGGCAATGCTTACCTGTGAGTCCCAACAGCAGAGCCAGCAGCAGGTAAGGAAGGCAGGGTCTGGAGGCAGGGGCCGACATTGTGGAGGCCTGAGGATCCAGCTCTCTGCAAATGTGTGTACTGGGGAGATGGGGCCTCTGTCAGGTGGGGAAAAAAAAACCATTCCTCCTGAGACAGAAGAGGAAGTGTCTATGATGCAGTGACATGGCTGTGAAACAGCAATCGGCTTCTGGATTGTGAAACAGAAGTCAGGCAGAGAAGGCCTCACATGGTGAGAAGGGCCTCTTCTTACTTTTTTTTTTAATTTATTTTTTTTATTACATTATGTTAGTCACCAAACAGTACATCATTAGTTTTTGAGTAGTGTTCCATGATTCATTGTTTGTTTATAACACCCAGTGCTCCATGCAATACATGCCCTCCTTAATACCCATCACCAGGCTAACTCATCCCCCAGCCCCCTCCCCTCTAAAACCCTCAGCTTTTTTCCCAGAGTCCATAGTCTCTCATGGTTCTTCTCCCCCTCCAATTTTCCCCCCTTCATTTTACCCTTCCTTCTCCTAATGTCCTCCCTGCTATTCCTTATGTTCCACAAGTAAGTGAAACCATATGATAATGGACTTTCTCTGCTTGACTTATTTGACTTAGCATAATCTCCTCCAGTTCCACCCATGTTGATGCAAAAGTTGGGTATTCATCCTTTCTGATGGCTGAGTAATAATCCATTGTATATAGAGACCACATCTTCTTTATCCATTCATCTG